AACTCATGAATTATAAATCCTTGTGTAAAGAAATGTTTTCTTGTTACTGTTTTATTTTTAATATTGATTTTCCTATATTTGTGTATTCATTTTGGCTGGACAAGCATTATAAAAATGCAAGTTGTTTATTTTCTTTGTATTTGAGATCTGTGGAGTCTTCCTTTGCATTCAGCTCCTGTTAACCCTGCAAGCCAAAGTCTTAAAGGGTAGGGTGGGCCCAGATGGACAAGTAATAGGAAAGCTTGCTTGGCAGTGGCAAGCTATGCAATTTTAACTGGTTAAGCCTCCAGCAATAACCCAACGCAGACTCTGGGGTCCCAAGCCTTGGCTCTTGACAACCTCCTAATATTTTCCAGAATTAGATAGGCAGGATGCATTCCTCCAGGGAGAGAGTGTGCATTCCATTCCAACAAACTATCTCTGGAATTACCATGTGTAGGTTGGATGCATGAAAATCTTAGTTTGGTTTGGATACTCTTAAGCATGGTGATGGGTTTCTGCATGTGTCAGATACCTAGCTGACAAAAAAAAATCATTTACACATTTCTAAAGTGCTTGAAAATGAGGGTGGGATAGCTGAAAACTGAATCTGCACTCTCTCTCACATGCTGTGCCGAGCCAGGTGTGGAATTACAATAACAGCAGGCAGCTCTCCCAGTGAACAATCCTGCTGCTTTCATGTGAAGTTCTCAAAAGTACTACACTATTTAGGAAAACAAACATAAAAGAACAAGTCTTACAATGATATATGGACAAGTGCTGATCACTGCTACTATCCTCTATAGAGTATCTCTCTGTATGGTGTAGTAAGGAAAATACTTTGAAAAAACACTACGAAGGGTATATGCATTTAACTGTTGCTTGGGCCATACCTACTGTGCTGAAAATGATTCACAGAGAATGGTATAAATGTGATATAAATTCTCTTTTTCTTCTCTCACTGAAAAAACTATTTACTGAATATTTTTGGAAATATCAGGGTTCAGCTATTTCAGGGTGGATGTGTGTAGTTTGTATATGTTTACTGAAACCTCTTCCCTCTGATATATAATCATAATAAGAATCTTTGATGTCATCAAAATGTCTCACTTTATTGTAAAGTGTTGTGATGGTATATTTTGTAGGTGAATCCAACAGTTAATACATCATGAAGTGAAAGATCAATTTTATCTGGAACATTATTAGCCAGGACACCAGGAGAAACTTCCTACTCTCCACAGGAAGATGGGACCTTGGATTAAAATGGTATCCGAACGGCATCACCTCCAGGAACACAGCATTTCCCCAGCAAAACAGAAGTCGAAGTCCAAATGTGGGACTTGAACCCACAACTTTCTAACTCAGTGCTATCAAATAAGACAGGCTGAGGTATGATAAAATGCAACAACGTTGAGACTACAACATACTGGAAATATTACAATGGAAATACTTACCTGAGGTCAATACCGATATTTGTTTAATAAAATATTGAATACCAAAAAATACCAAGGAATTTTTTTTTAGTCTTTTGATTCATTTTGCACCTCCTAATCTCACAATATCTAATAATTCAGAATTTTCTCAACTTCATTATACACACACCTCAAGGCGGCCAATAATAGAATCTGTAGTGAGTCCAGAGGCCAATTTCCACAATTCTTTCAACACTATGTAAACATAAATTGAGATTCTTTGCTGGCAAATTAGAATGAATGCCTTTCAGAATATGTCAGAAACCTCTGAATAAGTCTACCGGTGAGTGTACCTCCTTTTTATTGTTGCATCCCTTAATCCACCCAATTCACCACTAAAAATAACACTGTAATCTATTTGGCAGTACATTTTGGTGGCCCAAAAATTCATAAATAATTTTTTTAAGGAAATTAACATTCAGCAGCATGAAGTGATAATTCACACTGCCTAATAAATCAATATAATTGATGATTCTTTGGTGTACAATAGAAAGATAAAACAGAAAGTTCAGCTTGTACAGTTAAAGATGAAAAAGGGCATAGAAAATAAAATAATAATTCTAGAATCCGTCTCAACAGATTTTATGAAAAAGTGTAGTGACCTTGTATCCATCTGTAGGTGAATGCAGCAGCCAATTTGCGCACAGCAATATTCCATAATCAGCCATGAAGTGAGTGATCAATCTTATCTGGGGAATTGTTGATTAGGACACCGGGATAAGCTCCCTTTTCTTTTCGAATAGTGCCATAGGATCTTTAACATTCACCTGAAGAGGCAAAAGGGAACCTCAATTTAGTGTCTCATCTGAAGGATGGCACCTCTAACATTGGGGCGCTCCTCTAGCAATGCACGGGAGTGTAAGGCTAAACTGTGAGTTCAAATACCAGATGTGGGGCTCGAACCCCCAACCACAGAGGCAAGAGTGCCACCAACTAAACCAAGATGACACCTTCAGATATCGGAGAAAAGCCTGGAATTCAAATCAGTGGATCGTATGGTCTGTACTCAGTGCCTTTACCCAATATTCCATTGGGGGAGCCAAGACACATTTTTGAGGTTCATTGTTTTGTTTATTCTACTGGTTGGCCATCCCTAACTGGGGAGTGCTTGATCCTGTCACTATGGTAATCTCTAGTGTTGGTAAGTATTTAACATTCCCCAGTGTCAACATCACTCACATAGATGAGCACAAATAGTTCTAAAATAATAAGTTAGAGGAAAAAAACTTTTTTAAAAGAAAAGTAGCTCACTCTGCAGGTTTTTTTGCCCAGCAAAAATGTTTATTGTGAACATGAGAAAGCACAGTGCGCGTGTGTGTCCAATAATTCCCAAGCCTAGACTGAAGGTCATTCAATCCCATCATAGTTCAGTAGAATTAAGCCTACAGTGGGAGACCTTTGCTAAACTTAGTTGGACGCATATGTTTTTTTNATCAATCTCAAGTGGCAAAATGAAAATTTGGAACTATGGCAACTTATCACTTTGCCCAAACACTTGAAGAGGAAACAGCAATCGCAGTGGTTACGGCCTGGATTTTACCAAGATTAGGGGGAAACTAATTTCCTCATATTGACATCACTTGTTAAAAAAAAGGTTGTGCTATTTATGAAATATTCAGGCCTGTCATGTAAGATGCCACAGATGTTTATCGTCACATATTTTCCCTAAGTGGGTAAACGCGCTTTAACATACATAAACATATTACACAACATTTCACTCAGGACAGATATACTTTACTCAGTCTTGTTACCACCAAATCCTCAGCTTGAGGAATGTAACTGTGTAGTATCCTGCTAGGCCAAATGTCAAATAGTTTTTACTACAAAGTACACTCCACCCTTATTCTATAGAAAGGCATGCTGCAGGGAGGTGTGTGCTTTAATAAATGACACATCAAATGCTTCAAAATGTGACTTTAAAGAACCTCCCATGGGGGATATACTGATATTATATAATGTACTACTACAAATATCCTGCGTTTATAATTATTTTTGTAATTGTACGGAATTATCTTTGCTTTAAGGCAGGAAAACACTTGCTTGTGGAAGAGATGTCTTAAGGTTCCAACAATATTCCTGTAGCAGAAGTTAGTTAAATGAAAGCTGCAGGGCTCAAGCTATTATTTTTGTGTTAGGTCACATCTCCCTGATAAATCTGTTTCATTGACGTAAAGCTAATTTGGGGCTTAGTGATATATTACAGCAGCGTTTATGTACAAGTGATCCAGGCAACGGAGTGGGATTATGTTACGGTTTTATTTACATTCTTTTCGAAAATGTATAGGTAATGCTCACAGCCCGTCGGCTGCTAAAATGATTCCCTCCCTCACAAAATAACTAACAGAGGCTGGGTTGACAGACCTATCAACTGGGCACTTAATTTTCCTTTTCTCAGCAGACAAGCTTTTCCCCCTTCTCTGGAACTCCCTTCCTCCCTCCCCACATTCAAAGTCCACGCAAGACGTAGCTCTTTGACCACAATTTTGGTCATCTTTCCTCTTCCTGCCTTAGCTCCCACCCCCAGCTCAGATGCCCTGAAAGAATTATAAAGCACTTTGAAATGTCACCCCGACATAAAAGGCACTACAAAAAGGCAGATTGTATTGTACTTTGTTTCTGGTTGGGTCAATAACAGGTTTACCTTGTTTCCATTTCACTTTCGAAGACATATCTGAAGACACATCTTCAGTGTGGAAAAGCTCCAACTGTGTCAAATTGAAACTACAAGACATATACTTTAAACATCACAACTCAGCCCAGTCTCACTGAGCTGACTGGCTGCTCTTTTGTCCTGCCGCCGATGGTCTGAGACAAGTGCCTTCACATACGTAATTGCAACAGTGCCGCTGGGCAAACAATCTCCTGGCTACTAAGAGCAATGGAACTTGTCAACAAAGAGGGTGTAGCAGATATGCCACTGCCAATTAGGGTTAGCGTTACTTCCCCACTGCCCAGAATGAAATGCAGACCCCTTCACTCCACACTGCCCAGAATAAAATGCAGACCGCGCTTGGGAGTCACTCCAACTCGGGATAAACACTTCCACAGAAAATGAAACAAGGTCCTTGGACCTTTTATCCCTCTGGCCTTCCACCCGCAGTGATCCAGATGCAACCATCAAGTTGCTAAACGATCACCTCTCCTCAACCTCCAATTCCATTGTCCCCCTAAAATCAGGTTGGTCTCCAAGCCTACCCATTCCCCCAAGTACAACAGTCAGCTCTGCTCCCTCAAATCTCAAACGCGGATATTTGAGCGCAGATAATAATAATAATATTTGCTTTTGATATAGCGCCTTATCATGTCTTCGAGACATCCCAAAGCGCTTCACAGAATATACTGTAAAGTGAATTGACTGTATATTTTATGGGTGAAATGCGGAGTCAATTGCGTACAGTTGTATCGCACAAACAGTTGTGGATTTATGGAAGCCCATCAAGCTTGCTCTGCCAATTCATTAGATCACGCTTGATCCCATTTTAATACCTTTTCCACATGACCTTTAATACCCTTATTTCCTAAATGCTTACCTTTCACCTCAAGTCTTACCTCTTTGACTGAGCTTTTGGTCTCTCCCTCGTCCCCACACAAACATATTCAGCTTCTGCCTCCTGGCAAGGCAATCCTCCGGAGGTTAAGTCTCTGCGTAGTTCTGGTTTAAAACCTGAAGAACATTCAAAACCATCTTGTGTTCCTGACAGCTCAAAATAGTTATCCCACAACTCCTCAAAGTGACCACAGCCAACTCCCAGTTTTTGGACAGATTTTTTTTGCTATATATGCATAGCCAATTATATAGAATTTTCAATTTAACATCTAAGCAAAGTATAACTTCATTGCTGAGTGTTACAATTAGACACTGTGAAAGTTCTCATTTACTTTACATTGTGTGTGGTGTGGGGGGTACCAAACTCACTCCTTAGACTTCATTGTTCTTGTAAAGACCTAGGGCATCTCTGCTGCCATGCAGAGCTGTTAACGTTAACAGAGGACGTTAACGGAGAACTCTGAACAGAAATATCCTCCCTTGAGCATTAAGGGATTTTAACGTAATCATTCATTTAACCTATTGAAAGAATTTCTACTTGCCATCTCATCCTAAATGTTAAGAAAGGTTTGTGTATTTACTGCTGTCACTCACTGTGGTTAGTATCTCAAAAGGTACTGGTCAAAGGGAGTCTGGGAGCAGCACATCCATTGGATCACAAGAGATCGCATGAGTTTCAGATAAGGAGGCTCCTTCTGATCTCATCCTAGCACAATGCCCACCTTATCATTTTTCCATTACAGCATCAAGCTGTTTCTTAAATAAATCCAGTACCCCGGCCTCAATCACAGTTTCTGATACCCCATTTCTACTACTTAATTAACCTCTGTGTAAAGAAATACTTCCCTTTTTTCTCTCCTGGACTTGCCCTTCACAACCTCCATCCCCTTGTGCTGGATCATGTACAAGGAAGCTTTCTTTGCAATTATTTTGTATAAATCCTGCTTGAAATTTAAATTACATCTTGCTTGTTTAATTCCAGAAAATATTAGGCACAGGTGGGCAAGAGCAAGGCTTGGGGAACACAAAGTGTGTGTTGGGGGTACTGATGGAATTTAACCAGCTAAAGCCGCATAACTAGCCATCAAAAGCACTGTCTGGTAAGCTTTCCTGCAGCTTGTCCAGCTAGGACCATCCTTCCCATTAGGGCTTTGGCTTGCAGTGTAAAGAGTAACTGAGTGGTCAGAATCACTGCCCCCAGCCTCAACAAAGCCAGCCTCTCCTACCAATGAACCAGGCTGGCTGGTTTCAGCAGTGCCCTGCATTGCCTTGGAAATAAAGTTCCCATGTGATGATGAACATATAATCTGGATTTATTGCTGCTCTGCTGCTGGCTCTGAATCTATCCCATTTGGAGAATCTAAAATACAGGCTGTGTTCTGTTATCTAGGGAAATGATGAATGGAAGTTGTTCGGCAGGAGTGAGTTAAAGGGCACTGTATACTTATGATGAGTTGAGTTGAGAAAGTATCCATTATTAGCATTTAAAAGGGAATTAGGTAATGATCTGAAAAAGGAGAAATTTTAAAGAGTTTGAGAAAAAGAAGAATTGGACAAAACAGATATTTCTTTCAGAGAGCCAACACAGACACGATAAGGCATTTTGTGCTGTAAATTTCAGTGGCTTATGGTTCTCTAGATGAAAGATCATTTTATGATTTGAGGTTTGGGCATATAAGAAGGGATATTTACTTGCTGCTGATGTAGGCCTGGATACTTGAATCTTGGGTTTATATAAACTAATAGTTCATTCTTGGTTGGTTACTTTTGTCCTGGAGATAATTACAGTCGTCACTCCATGTCCTCAGAATTGATATCTCTTCTAAAAAAACAACTTTTATCCCTAAGTTATTTTTTTAAAATGCCAAGTTACCAAATAAGCAAGTAAACTACAGAGTAAATCAGCTTGTAACCAATCAGCAACTACAAGCTCTATGGAGTTGTACTTGCAGTTCTTCCAAACCAGGGTGTTTCTCCTTTCGGAAAATCACCACTCCCTGTTTTTATTCTTGATGGCAATCATGCCTTGTAATTTAAAGGTAATGTTAGGGATGAGGAGGAAGTGGATTTATCTCCCAGAAGAGGCCACATTTGGCCTTTTCCAGTCTGCCTGTGAAGATTACAGTTTGGCCTGTTCAAACAATTCCACCTTTATTGCAGTTACCTCTTAGTAATAACAATTGCACCCGAGGAGACAACATTTCCATTCTACACAAACTTGCCAGCTATTTTGCAATTGCTCCGCCAACATCTACAAGGAGTAAAGCTGGCCTACATTTGGTAATTGTTGGTCTTCTCCTATCCAGCATCTGAAATTCCTCATGTTAATAAGAGCAAGACCATTGCCTTAAAATCTAAGATTGTGTAGTTTTGGAAATGGTTTTAAATTCAATCTTAATCTTGAAATTGACATTCTACAGTTGTTATTGGGTCCCATGGAAAATTGGGTCCCATGGAAAATTGACTTCCAAAATAATACTGAATTTAAGACTGTTTCTGAGCCCTGATCTCCATCATCTATGTGTGTGCATGGTGTGTGTATGGTGTACGTGTCATGAGGTGAGAGGGAGAGACATGTTCCATGAAACAATGTTCCTTTGGAACATTTTTAAATGCCTTATTCCACTACTTGAGGTCCATCACAATATTTGTCAAGCACTTATAAACATTCTTTTATCTGAAAGACAATATATAGAATTACATAGAAAATTACAGAACAGAAACCAGCCATTTGGTCAAATTAGTCTATGCCATTGTTTATTTTATACATGAGCCTCCACCCATCCTCATCCCCTCTCCCATACCCTTCCATTCCCTTCTCCCTCGTGTATGAGCAGCACATTGATGAGTTGTTGTATAAATACATTTGGTGTTAACTGTTACTATCTGTGCCCTTTCTATTGCAGGTAAAACTACAGACTTTGTAGGTTTTACTGGGTTTTACTGTAAACAAAATTATATTTCCTCTATTTATTAAAAAATATTACTGAGCCCATTTCACATACTTTTCTGCTGAAAATGCATGATATTCCTCTGTGCTAAATATGAGATTAAAATGTTATTTAAGTAAACAGAAAACAATGAATCGTCAATGATGATCAGGTATCTTGCACCACTGTTTATTAAAATGTATCCTTGCATTAAACTCACTAATGCCTGAACTGAACTGGAATTAAACAATCATTTTCTAATGAGCTGCTCAGTTTGCAAAGTGTAGCAAGAAGAGTTCCTTCTTAATGGCCTTTAACAAGACAAGCAATTGCTCTTATTTCAGCTCACTTTTGCTGAGAATATTGACTTTGTTTCCGAAGGGTAATAAGAATGCTGAGAGTAGTGAACACTGCCAGTCTGTCACATGAGATGTCTTCCGACATTCAGTTCGTCACGCACGTCTACATTTTCAATAAAATTAGAGAAGAAAGAAAATGTCAAGCCCATTATTCTCTAAACAAAGCAAGAGCGAGCGAGAGAGAAGAAAGCAGTGCAAACAGAAATGTAGGTCAATGTTGTCTGCAGTGTAATTTGTTCAAACCTAAATATAGATTTGTGCTGGTGAAGGGGTCAGTTCATTTCCTCTGCGTCTACCCAAAGCTTTTCCTTCTAACTCCTAAACAAGCTAAATGCATTGAGCTACATTATCAATAAAGGGAAAAGATCCGAAGATCCCACCGGTTTATCCTGGTCCTTTTCAGATGAGATGGGTAGAAACCACAACCCTGATTCAGGTTTGGAAGAGAAGACGCAGGCAGCCATGTGGCCTGTGATATGTATATGGAATTCTTACCAGGTATTTCACATTATTATTATTATTATTAAATTCAGATGGGACTGTAGGAAGGTGGTGTATTGTTTTCAAGATTAAAAACAACACAGAACTCTGAAAAATGTTGTCTACAAAACCATGGAGGTAAAGCAATGGAAGACAATGGAAGAAATAGCAGTGTCAAAAAACACAGAGAGATTGAGGAGATTGAGGAAGGCAGGGATACCTGGCTGCAGTCAGACAAAATGTCATTGGTGACTTTCACTGGGACAATCTCAGTGCGTGACAGATTGAAAGCCTGACCTGAGGGATTCCAATGAGGATCAGTAAGAGAGCTGAGCACACAATAGGCAACTTATATAGCACCCTCCACGCAGGGTAGCGTCTCAGAGCTCTTAACAGTAGCGGAGCCTGACTCTGCGCCGGGGGGAAGGGGGGAGTTGGCCGTAAGTATGGTCGAACAGGAAAATCTTCAGGCGGGACTTGAAAGAGGGGCATGATGGGGCAAGGCGGAGGGACTGAGGGAGAGTGTCCCAGAATTTCAGGGTGCAGTGGCTGAAAGCACGAGCTCTGATTGTGTGGCAGAGGGTGCGAGGAACGAGCAGGAGGCTAGTGCCAGTCGAGTGGAAGCGCCGGATGGTGGATTGGGTAGTGAGGAGGTTGGAGAGGTAGGAAGGTGCCAGTGAGTGAAAGGATTTGAACACGAGTGTGAGGATATTGAAGTCGATCCGTTCAGTGATGGGGAGCTGGTGGAGCTTGGGCAGAACTGGTGAGATGTGGGTACGGAGTTTGGTTGGGTCAGTATGCAGGTAGCACAGTTTTGAGCTGGATCTTATGAATGGTGGAGCTGGGGAGATTGGCGAGGAGTGTGTTGGAGTAATCCAAGCGGGAGGGGACAAACTCATGCATGAGGGTTTCGGCTGGTTTGCGGTAAGGTACGACTGGAGGCAGGCAATGTGGTGGAGGTGGAAGAAAGTGGTCCTGGTGAGGGACCGGATGTGGGGAAGGAAGGACATTTGGGGGTCAAACCGGATGCCTAGGTTGTGCATTGGTTCGGTGAGTGTGAGGGAGAGCCCAGGGAGGTTGAGAAGTTCAGATCCACAGGAGTGAAGATGTTTTTGGGAGCCAAGGAGTATGGCTTCCGTCTTGACCATATTCAGCTGCAGGAAGTTTACACTCATCCAGGCCCTGATGTCTGCCAGACAACCTGATAGAACATCGGTGGACCCGGAGTTGGTACTGGAGGAGATATATGTGTCATCGACATACATGTGGAAGTT